TGCCCACCATTTCACACATTGGATAGTTCTCCCATGATGGACTGAGAACAGAGTAACCGTTTATAAGCAAATGTTAAATCAGTGCACCATAAAGCAGCCTGACCGAGTCTGCAATTGGTCACCAAGAAAACCGCACCTGCAAGACTGATAAATGGCATTAACATAAGTTAGGATTGCGAACAGAAAGAAAAAGCATAATAAAGATCACTTATCTCCAGGTATAACAAATAATCATATTACCTGGAGTCTGAATAAGCATAATTGATGTTAACATGTGCAAAGTCTGTTGGTGGTTGCTGAAGCCAAGGTGAGATGATTTCGAAAAGCTACCATTTGATTATCTTGATTCAACGATGCTGGAATAATCTTCAGAGATGTTAAGGGAATTATGTTTTCAGTCTAAAGAGAATGGAAATGCGGTGATGCATTTTATTTTTAAGTTATCTTAGTAAACCAGCCCTTCAGTGTTCCAAGCAGCCAGATGTTTGCTCTGTGACCCGTCCACATATATTAGATTGTTGCATTTTGTCACTTTCAAGCACAACACTATTTTATGGAGAGGGGCACTGTGACTGCGTAAAACCTTCAGCTGACCAATCTGCATTCTGTCAAAGAAAAGTATTGGATTTAACTCTTGAATACTAAGCCTTTTGCAGCTTTTCAGAATGTGTGCTTTGCTCATGAATCATCTGCAACATTTGTTTTTATGGCAAATGTTATAGAAGAATGAAAAATGTACAGAACACTCCTTAATTTCTAGTATGTTTTGAAAATATTATTGTTTGAATTTTTGGTTGTGCAATGTTATGAAAGCTAGTGTACAATGTTTTTTAAAATTGGTTTAGTATTCGAAAGCACAAGTTCTTTTCTGCCCAAGTTCTGCAAAACTTTAGCAGTTTCTGTTAGAAAATGTAGCAGTTCCTCTGATTTTTATCATCCCTGTACGCTTTGTTGTTCACTGAATGCTTGCTGCTGAGAACCCTTTATTGTAAATCTGAAATCCAGTAGTTGAAAAGCAGTTATTGATGCTGCTGTAGACAGTTGAAAGTTTAAGGTGGTTGGGATTGAGTACTCAGATTTGTGCGTATTTGGGAGATGAGATAATGCCACAAGAAGCAGTATACTTCCCCTTAGTCACGCCATGCTGATGATATTGGCTGCTCTCGACTTGTTTTATGTCTGGTATTCTGCTCCAGATCTTTGGCTTGTGTTTCTTAAAGCCACAATGTACTATTTTTCAGTAGCGTTCAAGGATGAATACTCCGCAACATGCATTTATTTAGATGAGCGAGGAAACGAAGGCAAGAGTTTGGTCTCTTTCCCTGTATTTGGATTCTTCAAGCACAATTGTATAGATATTTATTCTATTTGTCCAAACATTCTGTTTGGGCAATAGCGCCAGAAAGAGGGATGAGTGTTAAAAGCAACTAAATTGTCGAAATGTGGAGAAACTGCAATCATTTATTAAATACGTTAAGATTGATGTGTTTTGCTACAACATTTAAAACATGTTGAATGCTATTTCACCTAGAAGTCCTGCAAGCAATTTAAAAAGAAACGTACTCACTAACCATTTTCTATAAACTGAATATAGCATAAGAAATATCCTTCATATCATTCTGTGTGAGAATTTTTCTATTGATTCTATATAGTTCTTCATGCGTCATTTTCCTTGCTGTTGGGGAGAGGGAGGGACCAAATTAGTGACTTACGTAGGCATCTGCCTATGTTTTTGAGAGCCCTGTTAGTTTTTGCAAAGGGAGTGGCTTTATTCTTGACTTCTTTGTGAGGAAATGCCTGGATTTGTGTGATGCTGCCTCATTTACCCAGTTGTGTCAAAAAGTCATTTGGTGATATTGCTGTTGATTTTTGTACTGTAGCATCTTCCTTTGTAACTGTGTCTGCCTGTGCATGCGCGCAAGTATGTTGGTATGTTGATCACAATTTATGTATGTCTTTGTATCTGCCTTTTAACACGAGAGAAAAATGCACCAATACTAAGTGCTTGATCTTATTTCTATCTGTAGGTGATTAACAGAATTATCTCAGCAAGCCAATAACGTTTGTGCAGAATACAATAAGTCTTAGTTATGGTGCTTTGGGATTAGGTTTCCTCAGTTTTTCTTTAGAATTTATATGGAAAGCTGAGGTTTTGCAAAGAAGTTCTTCAACATAAATGGAAGACAAAAAACCATGAACAAGAACTGTTCAGGAAGTAAGATCGCCTTATCTAAATAAAATGTTTACATCACTTCTTGATTTTCAGTACCTTGCCTAAACCTCTGTAGTTAGACCTATGTCTGTTTTAGTAGGCTGGCCTATGTGTGGTGTTGAGATTTCCTTCAAAAATGTTTCAGAGCAACATTCATCCGCAGTTGGTTTTGTGCACAAGTCTGCTTTTGGTTTTGTGACAAATTAGCTGAATTAATTTTGGAACAGTATTTTTTGTGCATTGATTTATTTAAGGAATATCAAAGTTTAAGTTCCATTTACGGTCTTGTTTTCAAGACCTCTGAAATTATTCTCAGTTTGATGTGCTGCGAGGCAGTCTAAATTCTAAGCTCACTATTTTCTTTCACATTCTTCTTCTGAGTGGTTAGGTTTTTTTTACCATTTTACTTATGTTAACTGAGATGAACAAATGGGTTGCTACGTTCACCAACAAATACACTCACTACACTTTGCTAGAAATCCTATGAAGTGCTTTGAGATGTCTTTTTTATATGGACGGAGCTATACCAAATGCAAGGATTTTTATAACTTTGTGCATATTGGTTTCCTTAATTGTAATTGGCTAATCTCTAAACAAGAATTATTATGAGGGTAAATTTGTTGCTGCTGATGGCTGTTCAATAACATCCTGATGGAAATGCCCATATTTTGCTTCACATATGAAATATCAAATATGATTGCTTCAGTTGAAGCAATACAGCCAACATTAAAAGTATTGTTACAACTACAAAGCTCTAGAAGTAAGGAGAATGTAAGAATCTTAAATTTAAGCATCGTTTTTCGGTTTGTACATCAATTTCTGCAGGAAGTGTAAGGAAAAGCTGACCTAAATAAAGAGATTAGTGTTGATTGCGTGAACCTGTTCAAACAGGCCCTGATCCCAACTGATATGATAAACCAAAACCCCTAAAAATGTAAATTATAATTTAGAAGCTCTGAAATTGTACCAGCACATACGGAAGTACTGACGCTACAGAAGTTTCTAAAATTCAGCATTGATTGAGCAGACAGGGCGGGTGGTGCCAATTTGGCGACAAAGGCCTAATCCATGCAGCATCAATATTGACCCGGAGAAGCACACTCCACTCAGTCCAGACCTTGGACCACTATGTATGCCATTGTGTCATCAATATGTGCTATCTTCCAAATAGATGAACTGATGTTCTTAAAAATGAAACTGATACTTGTGTAGAGTTGAATTTTTGATCGTTATAACTGGGAAATTCTGATGCAAACTGGCTTTGTTTGATGCAAAGTCGAAAGTTTGGACTTCGGCCATTATGACATCAATAAAGCTTTGGCACATGCACAGTTCATTCTCAGTTAACCGAATGTAAATCACTTAGTTTAGAATTAAACAGACCTCCCTTAAAGCTACTCATACACCATGTCTTTGAGATATCTTGCAGTGCTTCACAGAATATACTGTAAAGTGAATTGACTATATTTTGTGGGCAAAATGTACTCTATTGTGCGGTCGGTGGAGCCCTGTAGCTCAGTGGTTAGAGCACTTTGCTTTGCAAGTGAGAGACCTGGGTTCGATTCCCGGCAGAGTGAAACCTTGGGCAAGTTTCCTTATTCCACACGCCTGATAATAATCCCTCAAGAAAAAAACCAATAATAAATAAATTGGTCATTTCAATCCACGACTGTTTGTGGGACGCTGCTGCTGTGTGCAATTGGCTGCTGCATTTCGCCCACACATTCAGTCAATTCACTCTACAGTTTATTCTGTAAGAGCTTTGAGACGTCTAGAAGACGTGAAAAGCGCTATATCAAATGCAAGGTTTATTATTATTATACATAGTGTTGATGTCTGCCTGCCTCAGACCTTTCCAGTCTGGTTCTTTTGGTAGAAGATTGTCACTTTGGACTTTTGTGTTCACAGTCTAATTTGAAACTCAGTTCAGTTCTAGAGGAAGCATTGTATTGTCAAAGGTGTTCTCCTGTTCAGGTGGATGTTAAGTATCTCATGGCACGAGTCAGAAATGGAAGGGAGTTTCACCCTCTGTCTTAACCAGAAATGTTACAAACCGTCCTGTGTGCATATTTTCTACCAGGTTTGGCTAAGGATGGTTTGTCTTTATTTGACACCGATTTGAAGCCCTTTGAAGCGTTCTGACATTCTAAGGCACTGTATCAAATGCAATGATTATTATAGGCCTTATCTTTTTGTAGCTCACCTTTTCAAGGCATTAAAAATTGACTTGTATCTTTAATCTATGGGACAATAGAATAAAGTAGAAATACTCCAGTTGTTGTTGGGATCTTTAACTTCCACCTGAAACAGGTAGATAGGACCGAAGAACTGCACCACCAACAATGCAGTACACCCCCAGCGCTGTATTGGACTGTCAGCTTAGACTTCAAGTTCCCACGTGGGACTTGACGACACACTTTTATGACTCGGAGCTGAGAGTGCTAGCCAACTGAGGCAGACATTTATCAGATTATTAGGTTTAATTGAAAAGTGAAAGGACAATGAATCTCGAACTGTCATTACTGAATTTTCTTTTCACACTTGTGCCATTAATGCAAAGTTGTTCTTGTGCCATTGTAAGTGTGATGTTGCATTTTAGCTTCTGTAATTGGCAAAACTTTCTATTGTAAGGAAGCAGCATTCTTTTGTATTGGCAGATCTGCATCTTTGCTGCATGAGTTCAGTAGAGAGTGCAACCTGACAAACAATATGAATAGCTAATGGCAATTCTGCTCTTTGATAAAATAAACTTTACCCTATGCTTTAACAGACGTTTTATCTTTTTCAGAAATCGAGCTATAGCTGATTACCTTCGTTCTAATGGCTATGAAGAGGCTTATTCAGTTTTTAAGAAGGAAGCAGAGTTAGATATGGTAAGTCAAATTGTTTGCTTGTTAAAACTGGAATGTAATCCATCTGCAGGAAAAAGTAGCACCACTTATATAAATGTTGGAGGGAAAATTCTTGTTGCGCAGCAATTGTGCCATGCTAATATATAATGTGATAGAATATTGTGGAGTCCTGTAGCTCAGTGGTTAGAGCACTCGCTTTGCAAGCGAGAGACCTGAGTTCAATTCCAGGCAGAGGGCTAAACCTTGGGCAAGTTTCCTTACTCCACACAGAGCCTAATAATAATCCCTCCAAAACCCAAAACAATAATAAATTGGTCATTTTCAATCTATGACTGTTTGTGGGACATTGCTGTGCACAATTGGCTGCCGCGTTCGCCCACAAATATACAGTCAATTCACTTTACAGTGTGTTCTGTGAAGCGCTTTGGGACGTCCTCCCGATGTGAAAAGCGCTATATCAAATGCAAGGATTATTATTATTATTATTAAAATAACGCAGTGGACAACAATCTTGGATACAGTTGAGGCTATTTCCTTTGTGGCAGTGGCTCCAAATGCTAGATAATCAGAGTGTTTGCTTGCAACAACAAATGTGCTGCCAGGACAACTGTAGCTATAATTGTTGTCTTTGAAAGACAGCTCTGATCTTTAATGGGGTGGGAGGTGAAAGACGAAAGAAAGGAATCTGGATTATTCTGTGTTCTTCTCCCAATATGAACAGGACCACTGACTTGAGGGCATATTTCTGTTGCGTACAAGATTTGTTTTTTCTTTCCTCTCTGTTCTATGGGTCTCTCTCTCCCTTCTTTGTTTTGCGAGTTTCTTAGCTCAAAACAGCCGCAAAGTTTATTTTTGGACTTTGTTTTGGTATTCTTGAGGCTAATTTAGTTTTTAATTCGTAGAATGAAGAATTAGACAAGAAGTATGCTGGACTGCTGGAAAAGAAATGGACCTCGGTGATAAGACTACAAAAGAAGGTGAGTTACCAGGATAAGACAGCATTTCAAAGAACTTGGGTGAACTTTATGTTGCATTTGTTCACTGCATACCATCTCTATTTAGAGAGTTGATGCTTGCTATATAATTTCAATGCAAAAAGAAATTGCATTTAGGCAAGTTAAAGTATCAACCGTAAAATATTTTTGAAGACAACTGTGAATTCAACCCATTCATATTTGAACTTTTGTTACTTTAATAAATCTGTTCCCGGTGTGTACCTTTCTACTAGGTTAATTGAATCAATATGGTTAAATATTAAAATACTGATTTTTTAAATTATTGTTATCAAACAGGTTATGGAATTAGAATCGAAACTCAATGAGGCAAAAGAGGAGTTCACTTCAGCTGGCCCTCTGGGTCAGAAGCGTGACCCCAAAGAGTGGATCCCTCGTCCTCCAGAAAGATACGCTCTGAGCGGACACAGAAGTCCAGTCACACGAGTCATTTTTCACCCAGTTTTCAGTGTTATGGTATCGGCTTCTGAAGATGCTACAATAAAGGTAAAGAATTCTTGTTTAATTAAAGTGAAAATATTTTCTACATTTCAGTATCAACAACAACAAAATTACATTTGTATAGCGCCTTTCACTTCGGGAGGACATCCCAAGGCGCTGGACAATCAGTGTTTCGGACCTGAGCTGGTGATTGGGGAGGGCAGAGGGCAAGGGGGGTGGGAAGGAGAATGATCAAAAGCATCTAAGACTAAAGAAAACTAACCACGGGCAATTGCTTAGTGTTGCTATTTTCTACCAGAGATAACCAGTTGCTAAATGGTTGACTTGAGTTCTGGATCCATTTTTCAGCTTGTCCTCGAGGTGACAATAACTATTTTTCGATGAGAAATTAGAATATTTCATTTCCACTGAACATATGCAACTTTGTTTTCTCTTTCGATCAACACCATCAATGTTGTACTCGTTGATGGACAATAATGTGAAAACTAATGCTATCTCTTCTAGTGCGGACAGCTTAACTTGGAACTCTGGGATAAATAGTAAAATGCAGCATGATTCTTCATACTGTGTAATCGGTGGGTTAACCCAACAATGACAATCCACAAGCATAATTGATCATTAGCTGACTGAATTTTGTGCCATTAGATTCCATTAAGGGCATGGTACTCCATTCTTCGTTATTGCTTAGTCCAACATTAAGCAGAAACTGTGGAAAATGAGAATAAGATGAATAGAAATCACTCTTCTGCAGAGCTCCAATAACCATTGCAAACTAGGTTTTCGTGGATGGAATTGTTTGATCCCATCTCTGGCTACAACTTGGCAATATCTGCTGTTCTACTTGTAATTATGCATTTTAGGAAAATTGACTTTGAAACTGCAATTTAAGTGCAATTTCTGTTAAGCTTTTCATATAAAAATAACAGCTTAGCAGTCCAGATAAAGAAAAAAAAGAACACTTGATTGAATATAGGGTTTTTGTTGTGCTCCATTGGCTTCCTTGAACCATATCCTGCTCTGTATTTTTGTGTCAGGTTTAATTGTGAAATCCGAAGAACACAGTTTCCATTTGGCTTAAATTCAGATTTGCTCCCATTCTTTTCTGAGCGTTTGCTCAGCAAGTGATTTTTTTCAGCATGAATGCAAGCTACCACAGAGCTATTAGACCATTGTCAGCTGGTGAGTAAAGTGCTATCCTGCTTAGTACTGGGTCCTAAAATTGAAACGGACAGTTTGCTGAAACCATTGAAGCGTTCATAAACTTAATGGAGATGAACTGCTTATGAGAAGAAATGCTTTTTTTGTAAAATAGGTGATTTCAAACTCCGATTGATTTGCCATGTTTACCACTAAGTATTGAATTATTCAGGGATTCAGCACTTGGAAATCACCGTATGGTTAGCTTGCTAGACAGATATTTAGTAATAATGTAAATGCATATAAAGGCTTTCTAATTGTATAGCTTCAAATTATGCAGTAAAATTATCCTGGTATTTTTGCCTTTAGTTTTGAGATGCTTGCTTTTCAAAAAGAATGCACAAAGGGAATACATGAAATTAAGATTGATTGATATAGCTATTTATTTGATTGGACCTCCACAATTTTGATTGTTTGAAATGGGAAGCAAAAGAAAGCGTAAAACAATTTTATAGCATCCAGTAACCTTTAGGGGTCCACATAGTAGCGTGCAATTAATGATACAGTATTTATGAAGGGGAAATGGCAGTGAACACATTTTATAAATGATGAAAACATAAATGTAAATAGCTGTTGGTTGCCTATTTAAAAGAAACTGAACATTTACTTTCAAGACGAGAAATGTTTATCTGAATCTTATGGAGCCTTACCTGAGGCCTAATAGTGTCTCTCATCTCCAACAGGGTTTGGGTTTTTTTTTTTCAGTGACCCCCCCCCCATACCAACCTGTCCGCTCCCTCCACTCAGCGGGCTCCGGCCTGCTTTACCTCTCCGCCCAAACCCTCTGGAACTCCTTCCACCTCTCCCCTGCCCACTGTCTACACTTCACGATCCCAACCACCAGCTTGGGACTGTCCAGTTTTAATGTTACCAAGTTCAAAGAAGTGACTGTATCTGGAACACCCTGAAATTTTTTATTTAAATAGTAGTTTGACAACTTATAAGATTGAGTGGTTTTCTTAGTGCTTTGGTATGTGTTTGTGAATGGGACCGTCACTATCCTGAACAACAATGAAGACAAATGGGCTATGCATTGTACATTTTAGAAATACTTGTATTTTTCAATGCCTTACTGGTATTGGAAGGCTTACACACAAGCATATTTTTAAGAAACATTAGTTTGTTTTGAAGAGAACTTTACCTGAGTACCACAGTTTTCAAAGTATCTTTTATGCCAGATAATTCTACAGTAACTAGATCCTTATTCCTGAAATTATGCAAGTATAGTTCAAGATGTACAAAAACTGTTTCCCTAATGACCGTTGTATATTGATTATATACACCAGTTGTAATGTCTAGCACAAAAAATGCTGCTGTTGTCCATGGGGTTCTGAAAATGCTTAAATTGTCAACTGATTATTCTAATTTTCTTTTTTACATACCTAAGTCTTTGGTGGTCATCGCAGTCTAGAAGAATCACTTGTGACACCATTTTGAATAAATAGAAACTTGGATATGCTGTCAACATGCCATGCATATTCCTGGATGGGTTAAGATGATGCTTTTTCTGTGATGGGAGGGTAGATTATGCTGTTGGAGCAGTGCTCATGACTAGATTATTCACAAAGGTTGTAGACTTATTTCGCCAACAAATTGCACAGTCAATCCCTTTACAATATATTCTGTGAAGCGCTTTGAGATGTCTCAGAAATGTGATAAGGCACTATATCAAATGCAAAGATTGTTATTATTATTATTGCTGTGCTCAAATGTAAGAGGGTAGATTTAGCAAACAAACCAACAATTTAATTCTAGCTTTCTGCTCACCTGACAGGTCTGGGACTACGAAACTGGAGATTTTGAACGTACACTGAAAGGTCACACAGACTCTGTACAAGACATCTCCTTTGATCAGACTGGCAAGCTGCTGGCATCCTGCTCTGCTGATATGACCATCAAGCTTTGGGATTTTCAGAGCTTTGAGTGCATTCGGACCATGCATGGTAAGAATTGGATTAGATTTTGGGCACGGAGAAGAGAAGCAGATACAGGCATTTTTCTGTCCAAGAAGATTGCAAGCATGAGCGGAACAGTACTGTCTTATTTTAGCAGCAGACTTAATTTATCGCCATGAAAACACTAGTGCAGAGATTTTTTATTTCCTGGCAGCACATTATTTTGTGTTGTGCTTAAGCAATTTTTCTGCAATTCTTTTTGAAAAGAAATGCATTTCCTTCCTTTTCCTTTTCATCTCTTTCAAGATCATCCTCAGTCATGAAAGTAGGCTATGTGCTTCCAGGTATCTCAGTGTCACTGTGAAACTGATGATTACGAGTTGCGTAATAGTAGTTCTGTCACCTGACTATCACCTGTTTTTTTTCCCCCCCTCTTAAAACAGGAAACATCAGACCTCTGCAGAGCACCATCCCCACAGTGACAGAGTTATGGTTAGGAATTTTAACATACGGAGGATTGTGTTTACAAATATATACTCGCTGCACTTTATCTTTAACTTTTTTTCTATTTGAGTAACTTTGGTATTTGCTATCACCTAGTTCTATTGGGAGTTTTTAATTTGGAAGTATAAACATTAAATCACACATATGGAGTTGCTGCAAGGATATAATACAATCTTGAGTTCGGATATCCTAAAACATGAGGGCAAAATGTCCTTTGATCTGTGGGATTATGGCTTTTGGCTTTCTCTTTGCCCTCCTCCTTCCAATTAATATTTTAAAGATTTGGGAGTCTTGTGTTCAGGATTAGTGATAGTAGGAAAGATTAGACTTGGCCTAGCAGAAAGGTAACAGATATTACAGCCTTTTAGCTTTTAATTACTGTTATTCATTTGCTTTGACATATGTATTTCTCATATTTTACGGTGTCTCGTTCGAGGAGGGTGTTTATAGTGTCCTGCTCCAGCCATTTTATACTTCCGGCCATTAGATTTTTTTCTGTTTGTGACTGATGTATATGTTTGATTTGCCTCTGTTTGGCACTTTTTAAAAATTACATGAGTGTAGGAAATGATTTGAAATTGAAGATGTGATAAAGTTGACCCCAAAGAAATAACAGCAGAAACTCGTAAATAAGGTCAGCAAACAGACTGAGGAATCAGGTTAACCTGGCTCATAAGTTTATTGCTGTATAATGGTGAAATGGAAAAAAAAAGTGAGGTGAGTTACCACTGTACAAATTGCAAATTTAACCTCATTTATGATTTGGGCTTCAGTTGGCGCTTCTAATTACAACCCAGTTCAGATTTTCTGTTAACTTGCATTAGTTATGAGCAAGCTCAATTTGCTCCCTTTTACATGACCAATGGCTGCTTACAGTACAGTCGTACAGCACTGGACATGCAGTCAGGAACTGGTTATTCTGAATGTCCGTAATAGATTTTGGGATAATTGCGATTAAGGGAACTTTATTAAAAAAGCTTGGTTTTTGAGAAAATATTTATTCTAAATATCCCAACGCATTCTGTTACTTTATAACCTTATAGAGTGGAGGTGCAGGGAAGAGTAGTCATTCTGAAATATTCAGCAGTATTTTATGATTTGAGACGAAAAAAATGCAAAGCTAACGATAGAATTCTGATGTTTGATTTTTCCTTTTGTTAAACACCATCTCATGTAATTCTCTTTTCTCAGGCCACGATCATAATGTTTCATCAGTAGCTATCATGCCTAATGGAGATCATATAGTGTCTGCCTCAAGGGATAAAACCATGAAAATGTGGGAGGTGCAGACTGGGTGAGTACATGAGGAATATTTTAGACGTGAAATTAATCTCTCAAAAGTGTTTAGACTTGCAGCTAATACAATTTTAGATATTGTAAATGTAGCACTCCGGGACGCTACCCTGCATGAAGGGCGCTATATAAATGCTAACTGTTGTTGTAGTATGCCACTTGGTAGAGAATATGATTTACCTTGTGGTTAGCCATGCTGTTTAGTACTTGTGTTTTCACTTTGTGTGAAAGCACTGGACTGGTGATCTTAAATGCATTTTTTTAAATTTTTTTTTGCTCAACAGTTATTGTGTGAAGACTTTCACAGGACATAGAGAATGGGTGCGCATGGTACGACCCAACCAGGATGGCACTCTTCTGGCCAGCTGTTCTAATGACCAGACAGTGCGTGTGTGGGTGGTAGCGACAAAGGAGTGCAAAGCTGAGCTTAGGGAGCACGAACATGTTGTAGAATGCCTTTCGTGGGCACCAGAGAGCTCTTACCCAACAGTTTTGGAAGCTACAGGATCTGAGGTAGGATTGCATACATTTGGAATGGTGCTGTTGTATCTGCATTTTGCAAGAATAAGAGTGCAATTACTTGTTACTGTTAAACCACCAATTATAGATGAATCCGATCTCTTCACTCTGTTAGATCAAGTATTAAAGTTGAAAGGATGATTTTCAATAGAGAAGTCAATTTAAAGGTCAAACATATTAGATTTTTCCTTTCCCATTGTAATGTACTCAGTTAAATAAACTGTTTTGTACTGTAAAGGTAATCCAATGTCTTTTTGTTAGATGTGATTGGCAATTAGTGACCTTGAGCACCAGAGAAATCCATACCTTGGTCATTCAGTTTAGGGAATAGCACATTGCAGCTTTCTTCCTCCCCCAAGGTTTTTCTTTGTAGATGACAGGCTACTGATGAGAGTCCTTGCACTGCTTCTATCCCTAACAGTGGTGGCAGAACTATGATGAGCGAGTGTGTGCGCACAGATTATATTGCTGTTATTTGCTGTGCACTGGAAAATGTCAGTTTAAACTGACAAACTTGGGATAATGCAGAATACCATCCATGGAAGGAAGGTACATGTACACTCACCATACAAAAGTAACATTAGCTTCAACATTCCCTATTTGTCATTCAAGTAATCGTACGATACTAGATTGTATTTGTGAGAGCTTCTGGTCCTTGACTCTTAATACTGCTTTTAGGAGTTTGGGGAATATAATGCCATCCATTGTTAATACTGAACCACACGGTTAAGAATTCAAATATTTCTCCTATAATACTGTCATATTGAACCCCCAAAGAACCAGAATTGAAAATTATTTGTGCAAATGTTGAAGCACTTTGCAAGCAGCAGTAGCAGAGATAATTTCAGCTGGTAACTTGCCATTGAATTACTTGAGCTCCTTTTGATTTATTGAGGGAATTATTCAGCTTTCAAACCATTCTTTTTTTTAATGTGTACAAGTGTTTTCTGTAAATTTCAGTAGAGTGGGCTAAATAGGAATAAACTCTTGAATATTTGATTTGTTTTGGACAGGAAGGCTGTTACAGTTCTCAAAGGGTTGTGCAGTTTGATGGCTCCTATGGCCAGATTTATAGTTTTGCTCGTGATTAATGTGTGCTTTAGAGCCTTGTGGGCATATCGACCATGTTGTGTCTCCCACTGTGACCGTTATCCTTCCCCACTGTTGGCTCAATGCTTTCTGCTAGCCAGATTGTCAATTAGAAGTTCACCACAGATGGCGGAATCCCTTTTGGATTTTGGAAGTATTTGCTAGTTAAATTTTTTGTTACATCAGCTGTTATTTTCTACCTTGAGACCTTTAATTTAGACTAACAATAGTTATGATAGGACCCAGCATTCACTGCACATTTCAAATGGTTTCATGTCAAATGCAATGTAGAGTGCAACAACTGAAGATTACTCCAGACATTAGAGTACCTATTTCGCTGAATGGAGACTTTATTAATGGAAATAGAATTACCAAAGTAATCCTGCTTTGCTCATTTTAAATTGCTTCCCACATGAGATGCATTTTTTTTGGCATAGTATTTTATAAGAACATAAGAAATGCTAGATGAAAAAAGACCAAAGTCCCTCTAGCTTGCCTTCCACCTTCCTGGCGGTCGGATGCACATATGTCCCAAACTACCTACGTACTATATCCCATAATATTATTTCTTTAAAAAAAACTATCTAATCTGTATTTGAAAGAATCAAATGATTTCCAAGATCAGATATTTCATTTGAATAGTGAATATGTTTTTTAAAAAAGTCATCAATTACACCAAATAAATCTCTTCCCACAGGTTAGATGAGGTGAGATGAATTTTGTGGTGTTCCAACTGAATATAAAAAAAAGTTTGGTATAGGATTTTTTTAAATTTGGGTAATCTTATATAGGTTGCCACTTTGCAAATCAAGTACTTGAAAAATAGAAAATCTTAATTACTTGAATTGGTATGAAACCTTCAACTCTAATCCTTTTCAGGCTAAAAAGAGTGGCAAGCCTGGACCTTTCCTTCTTTCTGGATCCAGAGACAAGACAATTAAGATGTGGGATATTAGCATTGGAATGTGCCTTATGACACTGGTGAGTAGTTGTATAATAACATAATCATAATCCTTGCATTTGATATAGCGCTTCATCATTTCTTCAAGAAGTCTCAAAGCGCTTCACCGAATATACTGCCAAGTGAATTGATTGTATCTTGTGGGCCAAACGCGGCAATGAATTGCACACATCAGTGTCCCACAAACAGTTGTGGATTGAGTGACCAAATTATTATTTTTATTTTTTTAAGGAATTATTATTTCATAAATTGAGATCCAAGTTGAGTAATGTATATAATTAATGCAATAGTTAATTTACAGTCACACAGTTATAATGCACCCTGGTATAGCACAGTTGTGCTTGTAGCCCAGGACCCTGAGCCTGTGGTATACCAGAAGTGTGGTGAGCGACACTCAGTTAACCCGGAAAATCATGGCCCAGGTGCACAAAGGGAAAATGATTAAAATTTGTGAAGGGTTTTGAGTGGGGGTTGGGGGTGGGGTTCGGGCGGAGGTGGTTAAAGAGTGTAAATGGCAACAAAAAAAAAGTCGCGTAAATGTTTGTCCCACTTCATTTTAGAAAAGAGACCCCAGCAACCTCTCAAAATGCTTTATACGTGTATAAAATGTATAAGTGTGTATTTGTGTGTGTATTTGAAGTCCTGGACCGTTAATGAGAATGTACTTTGTTCAATTTAGGTTGGCCATGATAACTGGGTACGTGGTGTCCTGTTTCATCCTGGAGGAAAGTTTATTGTGAGCTGCGCTGATGACAAAACTATTAGAGTGTGGGACTACAAGAACAAACGGTGCATGAAAACCCTGAATGCACATGAACACTTCGTTACCTCTCTTGGTATGTATCATTCTAATAGCCTATGCCTTAATTATTCTGTCAAATGATAAACTGGTCAGATTCTGTATGATTCGGATTTAAGGATTCTTGTGGGCATGTAAACAGTATTTAGCTCGTTCACTTTAAAGTGGTTTCTATTTGCATACTAACAACAACAAGAATACATTTGTATTGCGCCCTTCACATCGGGAGGACGTTCCAAGGCCCTGGATAATCAGTGTTTCAGACCCAAGCTGTGGGTCGGGATCAGGGAAGGTGGGGGCAAGGGGGGAAGGAGGGTGACTGAAGGTACAGTCAAAGAGGAGGATCTTGAGACGGGTCTTGAAGGAGGTGAGGGAGAGTGCGAGGCGGAGAGATTTTCAAATGTGGTAAATTTGCTCGTTTAATTTGAAGGTCATATTTATGAGAGCTTTATGAATATGCATGAGAATAATGGATTGAATTAGACATGTATAAGGTGCAAAATTGATTTGTATATTTTGTGTGTTCAACTGTAGAGAAAGTGAATGAACATTTGCATACTTAGAACTCCTACGCTGCATATTTCAGTCTTCATGTTGAAACTGGCTGGCATTCTTAATGTAGATTGGTGACGTGTGGTCCCTAACCACAGACAATAGCATGTACTAGCACATAGGTAATCTATTGTGGAAGATGCAAAATACGTTTGTGCATGTACCGATTTAAAACATAAATTAAAGAACTTGGGCATTATATAGATTTCAAATTGTTGTCGAGGTAGTGGACTGGAATTAAAGTTGAGCGAGGAAAGTTGAAAGGGAAATAACATTGGATTATATTTTGAAATACCAATGCTTTGGTTATTTGCCACAGGGCAGTTGGTAGAACAAAGGTTTATTTATAGTGATTTACAGATTCAGTTGCTCCAGAATAAAGTCTGATTGTGGTTTACCCCAAGCTGCTTGTACACTTTTTTTTGCTAGTAAGCTCCAGAGTGCCATTGGCAGGAGTGTAATCTACCTCATCATTCCCCTCTCTATCCCAGGGGAGTGGGGGTGTTGGGGGCACCGAGACCAATTATATTACCTCCAGCCGAGATCAGCTAACTCAGAAAAGATCTAGAATTAAACCTGCAACCCTTTGATCTGCATGGGTTAATAAAGTTATCCTTATTTTTCCTGATTATGTTTTATGTTTTGTCCCTCCAGATTTCCACAAGGCGGGTCCATTTGTTGTCACTGGAAGCGTAGATCAAACGGTAAAGGTCTGGGAGTGCCGCTGATAGCATTGATTTTTTTGTTTTTTTTTGTTCTCTCTTCTCTTCCTCCTCTTCCCCCTCCCCCCCTCCCCCCACCTCCTCTTCCTCCTCCTCCCTATCTACCCCCCCTGGATACACTCAGTTACCATGGTTACCCATTGAGCTCTGTTTAATAACTATTGTCCTTTCATGTAAATTATTCTGGATGTAGATTGAGCTATTAAATGTTACACAAAAGTATTCATGCATGGTGAATCCAAATTGTATACTGTAAATTACATACGTTGTCTAGAAGTACCATAGGTAAAGAACAAGGGCTGGCATTGGTCATATTAGACCTAGAAAGCAGAGTTGATTGGGTAGTTTAATAGGGCACTAAAATGACTCTGAAATTAAATCGACAATGGTGTTCATATTCATCAGATATGGTCTTTATTTTCAATGTCATTGCAGTCTACAGGGCACCAAATTGGTGACTTCTGCAATCCTGAAGTTGCGTTTCAGTGGTACTGGGGCTCGTTTAAGGAGTGCGTTAGGTGTCATTCAGGAATTGTCCACCGTTCTGAGTTGACTCGATCTGAGTGACTGCAATCAATAATCCATTTAATTTTTATTTCAAATGGGTAAAATTCCAAAGTCTCATTGTTGGATCTCTTACTCAGGCTGGGGAAACTGAAGGTTTACAATCAAAAGTAACATCATTTTGAATTCAGCTTTTCGCAATAAAGTAAATGGCTAAATAAGCACCCCCCCAACTTTCTCTCTCCCCCCCCCCCCCTACAAGCACAATATCAGTGGCATGAAACAAGGCCCAGCTAGAGGCTGCTGAAGAGAATTAGTTCAGACAAACATTTCACCCTGTGAAAACAACTTCTGGTCAGACAGAGACTTTAATACAAATAATAAGAAAAAGTGTCATCTTTTTAAAAATGACCATTTATTAAATCAGATGTGGATTATGGGATGTATATTATCCAGGGGTTAAATTAACCATTAACAGCATTGCATCTGTCCACTGATGGACTGTTTTAATACATACTGTAAATTGCTAGATTTGTTCAGTTAGTAGAGAATTACAATGAATTTTTGTTTTGCTAAGGTTCACCTTTTTGTAAGTGTAGTAACAGCAAGCTGTGTAGCACCACTGACCATATTAGACACATTGTGTTCATATGTTTTACAATAATATTTTGACAATTATTCATACTGCTGTATGACAAACCACTAAAAATTGCAAAGCTTCTTTTAACTTAAGATAGCCAGTCATTTTAAACAGGATCATTTTTGTAGATGTCTGCAGAAACATTCTGGAGAGGGATAAATTTTGTAACGATTAGTGTAATTTGTTTTAACTGTTTTATTTAAAACGTATGAAAACCTTGTGCCTAAATTCATTGACCATCCTGCTTGATGCAAGGAGCGTTTGTTTTATGAAGGACACACTCCAGAACTTAACATATTTAAGAATACAATTTCTCAGACAGAATGGTACAAAAATATGCTTTAGGTTGAAGGCTGTTAGCAGTGTGGATTGGCTGCAAATGGTGCTTTAAAACAAAGAATCATTAAAAGGCCTTTTTTGCCTTTTCATCAGCTGCAGTGAAAGCACACAGCATGCTGTTTTAAACTTGAGCAGACATAGCAGTCCACTTTAAAGGCAGTCCTTGAGTTTACTTTGGAAGCATTTTAGTTTTTGCTTTTTCTTAATACTTTTGCACATAGCCCCTGTGGTAGATTTATACAATGCCTTTGAGTGAACTGAAGCATTCTTGTGGACGGAAAGTAATGTATAGCTTATGAAGGAACCAGTGTCGGAATGAAAAAGGAGAAATGCAACTTAAAATGTCACATCAGCATTCGGAATTGCATCAAGCTCTGCTTTGTCATGTTCAATCAATGCAATTTTTTGTTTCTTCTGGAGAATGTGCAGGGATGTTTTGTCAATTCTGTGGCTGCCTGCCATTGTAACTATACAGTTCAATAGCAGCGACAGTAAAAGAGCCAGAGAGATTCGACCTAGTGAATCTGAACAGAGCATTACTTTGAGATGACAGTTAATAGTTTGATTCGCAATAACTGCTGGAGATCTGATCCGGCACACAGTAGTCTTTTGTGGAAAAACTTTAGGTGATATGATGATTACCTTTTAATTTATAGTTGCAGTGGATTAAGTTTTCAGTTGCCAATGAAATATGTAATTGAGTTGGCCTTGATGAGAAATGTTGCACTGTCCAGTCTATATTTATGTTGATATTCTGCCCTTATACTTGTGACTCGCTCCTCCCTCCTTTTCTACCGTTTACAATGGAATGGTGTATCTATGGTGTCACACCCCAGCACTAGTTCTAAGGCAAAACCTTTGATAGCCAACAGGCTGCAAGCATCATACAGCTAAACCCCAATTCACAACTTGCATATCTCATGCAAATCGTATGGGGCAGAATATTTTTTATCCCAATATTTAAATTGTGGTTCCGTTCAGACAGTAGCAACTGTTGCTGGAAAAGGAGACTTATCACTTCACTGCATTTGATATGCCAGGAATTTCTCTTTTCACCACTCTACTTGTACTGTTTCTTCCTTATTTAGCCAAGTTGCTCGACCTAATCGCATTACATGCATTTCAAGTGAGACCTTCCTGAACTTCCAGTGAGGTGGACCTTAATATTTCATAGATAGACGTCCTTTAAAGTTGCTTCCTGGAATTTTTCACTTGTTAAAAAAATTAAAATCTGGCAAATATTTGATGTGATAGCATGCCTTGCTAAATTGTAACAACTGTACTACACACACAAGTATAACGGGCCACCATTCCCAATTCCCTTTGCTCGCCGTAGAAAAATAAATATCACTAATGTTGGTGAACACATTTCTTCAAAGCACTTGAAACTCCATTCAAAAGTGGTTTGTTTCACGGCTTTCAGAGCTCAGAGTATAATCTTAAATGCACCAGAGCAAACGGTATCTGCTGACTGTTCTCGTATAGCAGTTGAAGCAGGAAGCAGCTAAGCTAGTTCATGGCAGTCACTGAGCTTGAACCTCAAATCAAAAATATCCAGTTTCATTTCAGTTAGTTTTACTGGTAGTTTTTTTTAAGGGCTTCCTGTTAAATCTATCTGCACTTTGGTAGCCTGTGTATTTAATATAGTACTTCAATTGGATGCTCAGCAACTGGAAAACGCTGGCAAATATATTCAAAATTACATTTAAGTAGTGTGGTTTTAAAGTTTGTAGTGATGTGAAGAGATTGAAGCGCTAGTTGTGATCGCTCAGTCAGCATTGAAGTGTTTGCCAACTATTTTAGCTTTATTGAAAAACATTAAAATATTTAATAAACATTAGAATAATTCTGATACGGATTGGGAATGAAACTCCGGCCCCCCCAAAAAAATCTTTCTTTTCATATCAGTTTGTAATGCCATTAACTACAGCATTTTTTACACGTGGAATACAGTCGATTCCTTTTAGGAGCAAGTAGAATTTTTCAACAATAAACCTAGTCTCTTGACCAAAATTATCTCTCGCCTTTCCAGTTTTTGATCCAAAAATGTGTACATAGGAACAAATTATTATAAAGACAAAACTGCTCTTAAATGGAGTAACCTGTACATTCACTTGCTCATTGAAATGCACAAAACCAATCCCAAACTCATTACAAAATCAACATTCCAGAAATGAGCCCCTTAACTACCCATGTGCCCCATTCCAAATCGTGGATGACTTTATAAACCTCTACAATAGATACAGATTGAAACCATCTGGTACGATTTGGCCTTCTTTGAAGTCAATGCAACAAAATGACTTGAGTTGTATAGCATCTTGCACTTTAAAACAACAAAAAGCCGTCCTGCTTTCTTCAGTGCGTGTGTGGTGTGACCAATGCTATGTCCAGGGCACTAAACAAACCTAGTAGCTAGCAAATGTAAGGGGCTGTGGAGCACTGTAGTTTTGAAAGCTTGGCTATAGACTCACCAAGCCCAGTCTACTGTCAGTACCCTGCTTCTCCTATTTGCCTCTTTCTCTTTTTGTGAATTGCCTGGTTCAAGCTCTTCTTAAATGGCCATTCCCACTGGAGCCATTTTGAACCCTACAGACTCTGTTTTGTCAGCTGTTTTACTGGCTGTTAATTGACCTTTGCCATTCCCACTGTATCATGTGATTGGCTGCTTCCTAGTCCTGCCTTTTCCCCTCCGTGTTCCTAAGGTGTTCCTGAAGACCAGTAGTGAACCGTCAAGTAGACGTTGTACTCATCACTGACACTATGGCAAGAAGTAATTTTACAAGCAGAAGCAGAGGGTGCAATTATAAGTACCAGGACTGTGAGAAGATAATTGAGCTATTGACACAGTACAAGCAATCAGTTAAGGAATGTATATACTGCTGTGTGTTTTACAGTAAGATTTGTTGCTATCGAACTGTGTAAACAAGATTTATTCATGTTTTCTGCATATTAAAATCTTAATGTACCAATTGGTAAAGACTATTAAAATGCATACAAAACTAGAGTGTGTTCATTTTTGCTCTTTGTGTGATGTGGCAGATTGTTCCATATAATCCAGTTTCCATCATAAGGATCACAGTGATGCATTCAAATCCTTGTGGTAAGGTCCTGAAAGTGTATAGAATCTGTTCATAAAGAGAGCAACTCACTTTGGACTCTTAGATTCTCGCAAGAGAAACTGCTTACTCCGTCCACAGCTTGTGTTTTTTTTAGGAGTTTGATGATTGAATGAGGTTTAGTGCTTAAGAATCTATTGGTCTTTGCAAAGTCAGTGAGTGTTGAGCTTTACCATAATCAAGCAAACACTAGCCTCAAACCATTTTCAGTTTCGTAAAGATAGCAGGATGAGAGGACTAGGTCAAGGTGAGAGCCAATCAGTTGTAATTTTAACATCAGTCTCATCAACTCAACCCCCACAACACAAATAGAGAATGGTCTTCAGTCTCCTTTTTACATAATAAAAATCTTTACATTTGATATAGACCTTCAAAACATCTCCAAAATGCTTCACACCATTTTACTGTAAGGTGTACTTTGTAGGCATACACGGTAGCCAAGTTATGCATTGCACTCTAT